CAGCAGAGGGGAGAGCTGCTGGAGAGAGGCAAGGACAGGTCTGGTGAAGCCTCAGCTACACATCTCACTGGGGTGGAGGTAGCACATCTGACACAGAGGATGTAGTAGTAGCAACAGCCAGAAAGCCATTCTGCTGCCGCTCTGTGGCCTGGGGGAGGATTGTTTCTGAATTCCTCAGAGCTTCAGCTTTATTTGTGGAATTATGCCAGTTAAGGGTTTTCTTATATCAGATAGGGGTATTCCCCTCCCCAGCCATATACATAGCTATGCTGGTAAAAGCCCTACTGTAGACTGTTATAGTGATACTAGAAGATTTACCCAGCATTGCTTAGGTCCTTAACTCAATTAGTATTTGCCTTTTGGAAAATAAATTGAAAATGCACACGCTGCATTGGAAGCATTGCTCTGGGGCACGGCGGGGGATGAGAGGTTCAGTATACAGGCTGCCCCAGGGAGAGAGGACTGCCCCAGACCTCTCTACCAGAGTTTGGGTCCAAGTGAGAAGTGCCTCTCCATAGCCCCTGCTGCTCCCACAAGCACAGCTGGGGGAGGGGTGCATGTCCCCCCAGCTGGACCAGGTCCAAGTTCATCTGCCCCCTGTGCTCTCCAGCCAGAGTGAGGAATGCAGCAAACTGTGCACGTTCCCCTCGCTCCCTGACAAAGGGAAACAGCCAGCAAGGTCTCCGTACAAATTGGGGAAGGAGCTTCAGCCCCCCCACTCCCCAAAGGGCACCTTGTGGGTGGGAGACTTGGGACTGGGTCAGTCCTAGTCAGGGGAGGGGGAGTGGCCCCAGACAGCCCCTTTTAAATGCCTGGTGATGTTTCCGTCTCTGTTCTGTATAGTTTTATGGAAAGCAATCCCATTCCAGGCACATCCCATTTTCCTGGCACAACCAAATCCTGACCTTGCTGTAAGTTATGAGAAGAGGAAGCTGTATCCTGAATTTGGTGGTCCTACCTCTTTCCATTTAGGGGGAGTTCTTGAACAAACAGACAGACAAATTCTCTCAAATATATAGATAAATGTGCTTCCACTAGTAAAGCATAGGCCAGTTTGGGGAACTGGCATAAACTATAGCTTGGACTAAAGTTTTATCATGATAGCTCTGTTGGGTAGCAATATGAAGAAATCACCCTCTAGCCTACGCAGCTGTGTTGGCAGAAGTCCCAGGGTAGGCACAGCTGTACTGGCAAACAAGCTTATTTCATTCAGAGAACTAGTATAATATACACAGACAAAAGATCTCATTTGCTGATATAAGCTGCATTTCTTCTGGGGAAGTTTCTACTAGGCAAACCCTTTCTAATGGAGACCAGACCTATCCTAGTATTACTGCATCTAAAAAGAGTTGTGTATAAATATATCGGTATAGTTAAACCAGCAAAACCCTAGGACTGTGTCTAGACTGCATCCCTTTTCCGTAAAAGGGATGCAAATTAGACATATCGCAATTGCAAATGAAGCGGGGATTTAAATCCCTCCCGCTTCATTAGCATAAAAATGGCTGCCGCTTTTTTCCGGCTCGGAGCTTTGCTAGACGCGGATCTTTCGGAAAATAAAGCCTTTTCTGAAAGATCCCTTATCCCTTATTTTAAGAGGGATAAGGGATCTTTCGGAAAAGGCTTTATTTTCCGAAAGATCCTTATCCCTCTTAAAATAAGGGATAAGGGATCTTTCAGAAAAGGCTTTATTTTCCGAAAGATCCGCGTCTAGACTGGCACTTTTTTCCGGCAAAGCTCCGAGCCGGAAAAAAGCGGCAGCCATTTTTATGCTAATGAAGCGGGGGAGATTTAAATCCCCACTTCATTTGCAATTGCGATATGTCTAATTTGCATCCCTTTTACGAAAAAGGGATGCAGTCTAGACACAGCCTAGGGGTTGACAAGGCCTTATTCTGGGTGAGAGAGAAACAAGAAGGGAGAAAAGGACATTTATTTGCTCTTGCCCACACAATAAAGGGTGTTTCATTTCTTTGACAGTTGTGTTGCTGGCAGTGGCTTGTGTTACCTTTGTTCTTCGGCTGGGAATAGTCATATGGAGACATTATAAAAGGCCTCTAGGCCAATCGGATTCTCCAGCCATGAGACTGTGAAGTATATTTCCAAAGTGAAGACCATAAGGCAGAGATGTTTCAATGCATCAGTCAGGCACTTACTCTCTCTTACCACATCCTGGTGCCTTAAAAATCTTTTTGCGAATGTGGAACCATGAACAACACGAAGAGGGTAACAAGGATATTACAATGATTTGGTATAAGCATTCAGGGGTCTCTTTCTTTTTCAGGTCCTCTTTCCTTTCACTGTGATCAATTACACTTTCCCTAGCACCTTTAATTTGATCATTAGATGTGTTTTATTAAATGATGGTATAAGTTTATACAGGAGGAGTAAATGAAAGGATCCCTCTGACATAACGCCTAATGCACCTTCAGGATAAATGGACAATAGCATTCAGATTTGTCCAGCAGGCTTTCTTATGCTGACAGCACATGAATGTAAGGCGGGAGGTCTGGCTACTGGTTTAAGCTCTGCCATGGCTTACCAGCGTGAGCTTGGCCACATTCAACAGTGTCATGCCTCAGTTTGCTGACTTGTGCTAATCCCTCACATGTTCACTTCATTCATGGGTACAAATCAGTCTGCGAGCCTTGGAGGGGTGATGTAAAATGCTGCATATCCCGTAGCGTGGATACAAAGATGAGACCTACTAGAATAGAATGTGGTGTTGCTTCCATAGCACAATGGGTGAAGTCTTTGTGATGCACGTCTTGTTTTCCATTCCTTCATGTTTTTAAAAAAAACAATAAAGCAACTAATTACAAGACAGCTGTGTTTTCAGCTAATAAACTATTTACACAAATACCTGCTATTAAACATTTCTTCCCTCCTGCCCCTGTAAACACTCCAAAGGGAGCACTGCACAGAGAGTTCCCTGTCTCTGTGTGAAATCCCCCTGAAGTCAGTGGAGCTCTCTGTGGTTGCAGGGGGCCATCTTGTCACTGGATTAGGGCCACAGGCAGGTGAATAATTTGATATTGCCAAGGAGTCTCATTGACCTCCTGTGCCTAACATGTTGTGTAGCAGTACCCTCAGCCATGGAGCAGCACCCCATTGTGGTAGGTGGGGTACAGACACAGAACTCAAAGATAGCCCCTAGCCCAGAGAATTCACATTCTGAGGCTACATCTACACTGCATCCCTCTTGCACAAAAGCCTATGCAAATGAAGCACGGATTAGCATTTTGCAGCACTTCATGTGCATAATTAATTAAGGGCTGTTTTTGCACAAGAGGCTTTTGCGCAAAAAGGAGCCGTCTACACAGTTCCTTTTTGTGCCAAAACACCCTCTTGCACAAGAGCCACTCTTCCTCATCTTTTCAGGAAGACCGGCTCTTGCACAAGAGGGATTTTTGCATAAAAATGGCCCCTATTTAATTATGCAAATAAAGTGTGGCAATTTGCTAATCTGCACGTCATTTGCATAGGCTTTTGCACAAGAGGGATGCAGTGTACACGTAGCCTAAGTAGTGGTTCCAGGAGGGGGACCCGGGTTTTTCTTGTGCACAAGGAAACTATCTATTGGGTATCAATGGCCAAACTGGTATGTAAGAAGAGAATGAAGGAGGACTGGAAAAGGGTATAACTAGCTCACTGTGCAGTAGGTCAAAGAGCACAGCCCTGGGCTATGTGCTAACCTCAAACCACAGAAACCAGCCTGGGCTATGAGCTGGACTGACTGCAGGGTAACTGATTTGGAGGTTAGTAAAGGCTGAAACTCATCCTTTCTCTCTCTTGTTCTCCCCCCCCCCTCTCTCTTTTTTAAAGTGGGAGTGAACTTAGTTCAAAGGTATTAGACAGGCAGCTCTGGAAGCGAAAGTCTTCTGGTCAGGCCCAACACAGACAGCAGCCATGGCTTCCCCACTCTGCTCAGCCAAGGTGTCCCTCGGGAGGGAGTGCCGCTGAGTGAAAGGGGTGTTCAGACCCTATGTCCCATGGCCTTGAGATGGAGACTGCCAAAAAGGGAGCTGAACGCTACTTCTCTGATGTCACTTGATAGGATCCCTGCAGGGACAGATGTTAGCTTGCCCCTGCAGGACTAGAAATGGGGACTTTCCCTCAGTGGGAAATAGAGTTCCAGCTACCCTACAGGAGACGAGATTTGTTTCCAGCCAGAAAGGAACCAAGATAATGGACTTTACAGCCATGACAGTTTTCAGGAGAAAAAAAGCTACGCTGGGAGGATTTTAGAGCTTCTCCCTGAGCCTTGGATTCATGGTGACTAACTTGAGGGGTCCGGAAGGTAATTCTGAAATATTCCAGATCACCATCTAGTGAGTGTCTGGTAGTGCGGAGTAGAATGATTGCATTAGTTTGCCACTTGCCATAGAAGCTGTAATGTTTTGGCGCCCAGAGCTGTTTGTTTACTTGTGTGTGTTTGGCCTATAGGCAGCAACAACACCTTGAAATGTGCGTAGGCAAAGGTGTAGGTGGAGAAACTCTTACTGGAAAAGATCTGAGATGCTTCTGTGCAGCCAGATACATAGAATATGTAACACTGGGCAAAATCATCACCTGTCCTTGTTCCCTTGTACAGGCTATGTATAACATGGATACAGCATGGGAAGAGAAGCAGGACCAGCCTTACCCTTATGCAGAATACGCTGCTGCATAGGGCACCCAAAAATCTGGGGCACCACAAGGCCCCTTAGCCTCTTCTTATCACTGTTTTGAGACTGCTGCAGCCGTGTGGCCATATCTACATGACCGATAAGATCGAAGCAACTGCAGTCGATTTCCAGGGTTCGAATTAGAGGGTCTAGTGAGGACAGCTAATTCAAACTGAGAGGGGCACTCCCCTTGATGCTGGGTGTCCTGCTTCCACGAGGAGTAAGGGAAGTTAAAGGGGGAGTGTTCTCCTTTGGACTTCCCGCAGAGTGGACAGCACCAAAATTGGACTTAAGCTATGCAATTAATGTACCTGAAGTTGCGTATCTGAATTTGACCGTATCCTGTAGTGTAGACCAGGGGTGCGAGTCTTCATCTGGAGAGGATCTAGTTAACTTGAAAGTGAAATATCCTTCTAGAAGGCTTATTGATAGAACATTGAACCTATGGAAGATTCATTCAGATGGTAATGAAGACATTTAACAGGTATATACTGTCAATTTCTGAATTTACTGTGTTGTACACTGGCCCTTAGTTTAAAATGTGCTTTAAAATATTTCATGAGTGTGTTGCTGAAAATGATGACATCACAGCTCTAAAAATATTGTCGTTCCCCCCACACTGCCGACAGGTATGGGACACCAGTATAATAGTGCTGTGTAGGGCTCCGTAAATCCTAAGGACAGCCCTGAAGGGAAGCAGGTTTGATAAACTCAACGTCTGCTGCCTGGGCTGTTCAGGGAAGATCTAAATGTGACACTCTCACCTGCTGTATTTAAAAGACCAGCCTGGTGACTCCCAATGAGTGACACTCTCACCTGCTGTATTTAAAAGAACAGCCTGGTGACTCCATTACAGGCTTCTGTGTGAGGAGCTGAGATTTTAATTCCTACAGTAAAAGTGAATAGATTTTATTTTTATCTAAACATTTCCTGCTTTTGCTTTTCATCATAAAGTAACCAAAGGATGAACGAGTCCAGTGCGGTGTCCCTGTTGCAGGTCGCCGTTGATGAAAGCATGTTGGTACAGGTGGAGTGAAACTATAAGTCAGTTCCGACTTCCACGTATGCCGAATGCTGATGGGACAGCTTGTTAGTCAGCATTTCTGACTCAGCTGTGCTGCAAATGGTGGTTTCCCTTTCATTTGGCTAGGGATAGCCCTGGTTCCCAAGATGCAATTCCATCCAGAGGGGCAGACTGAAGGGATTGAGTTACTTCTGCTCTGTGACCCGCTCGAATGAGCTGCGAGGAGACATTCAGAATCCTTTCCTGGGCATTGCAGCACCAAGTGCTTTGCAGGCCTGTCTGTGAGCAGTCCCCAGCCACCTAATTAATACATATGGCTGCAATTAGCACCACTCTGATTGTTCCCAGAGGGGGAAATTATGTGCCGCTCCAATCCAAGCAGGGAGACGATTTAAATAGGATTGGGCTGTCAGAAGGGTCCTAGCACATACTGATCTCCCAGGATGGAACAGTCCAGCACCGTCGCTAGCAAAACTTGATCCGCTATGGGTGTCTGCCAACTGTCGGGGCTCAGGCAAAATCCTGCAACGGGGCAGAGTGTGTAGGCAGCTGCCCTGACTACAAAGCTCAGCTATGGGAAAAGGGTATTTGCTTATATCTGTGGCAGTCGCAGGGCTAAGTACAAACATGTTGGAATTCCCTTCAGGGCCTGACTCGCTGTTGTCACTTGCCCCAGTGCAAGATGGGTGTGAAATGTTACCATTTGGATCTCGGAGCACTGAAGTAAATGACAATATAAGCGGAGGGAAATAGAGAATCAGCCCCTAGGTTGTGGCATTCCCAGGTGCTGGTGTGAGGCGACAGTGCCTAGCACCCCTGTGGCTGCAGAGGGCAGAAAATGGGACTTAGGCTCTTCAGTCACCTATGGGCTTTTGAAAATTTTAGCTCGGGTGCTTGCATTGTTCCCTCCCCCCATGTCTGTGCTAACATGGCTCACACCAGATTGCTCAGTGCTGGAGAGTAGGGACAACTTCAACACCAGCCCCTCTGCGGCCATGCCCACAATGAATCATGCAAGTGTTTGAGAACATAATGAAAACACGGCTACCCTGGTGTCCCAGACGAATAGTGCTGCCTTCCCTCCACTGACAGGCTAGCCTCCCACCAGTAGGGGCAGAGAATGGCTAGTCCTTGAAATGTGAGGTATTCCACAGAGACGGCTACATGGAGGGGATCTCTCTAGGTAGAGGAAAAGGTGGGTTTGTGTGAAGGGGAATGACTGGGCATCCTTTGAGGGAGTAATTCAGCAGCTAAACGACAACCTTGTGCAATCACAAGGAGAACTAAGAAGACTGCTTCCCCACTCACAGTCACAGCATGGAAACCCCCTACTCACAGCCACAGTCACTTACCAGATCCCCATGGCACAGGAAAAGACCCTCCACGTACGTCCCAAACTGGTCCCTTCTGCCTTTTGGCTAATGCTACCCAAATGCTGCCATTTCCTGCCACTAACTCCTCCTTGGAGGCCGGCGGATGTACCACAGACCACAAGAACCCATCCACTGTCTGCTGCAGTCATGTCACTATCACGGGTAGCACCTTTGATTCACAGAAAGATATAGTGCTGTTCTAACTAAGTACAGGTCAGCTGTTATCATAGGGCTACAGAGCACTACACTTGTCTAACAGAGTCAAGAGGAAGGAGAGTCTAGCAGATAGAGCACTAGAGTGTGACTTAGGAGACCAGGCTCAGTTCTCAGCTGCTTGTGTGACATGGGGTAAGTCATTTAGCCTCTCTGTGCCTCAGTTCCCCTGTCTGTGAAATGGAGAGAATAGCTCTGCCCTTCCTGACCGAGGTGTTTCAGGATAAATACAGTAAAGACTTTGAAATGCTCAGAGAGCATAGGTGCAGA